AAATATACACACCAATGAAGGAAATAACGGGGCCAATGTGGGACAAAACCAGAAAACTATATGCAAATATTATGCTAGAATGCACATTAAAACATTAAATATGATTGTTTGAAGGGGTTAAAACTTCTAAGAATTTCTTGTTTGTCTATATAATTCATTTTCTGTTTTTCAAATTGGTTGCAATAAGCAGAAAAATTTCAAGCATATATACATGCACACACAGAGAGAGATAGGTGTGCACACCTATATGTATACCTATACATTCATGTCTCTTAACATTAAAGCAAATGGTGTTTAAGAGAAATTTGGTTATTTTTCTCAGCTTGAAAACTGAGGTCGGAGTACAGCCCTAAAGGCTGGATGTATCTTGAGAATGGATGAGGTTATTCAAGGCAATACGTGGTAGGATGTGGGGAGCCTATTAGGAAAACAGAGTATGTGAAATAGGCAGGGGTTTTTGAAAGGATTGCTGTAGTTTTATATATTATATGATGTTTCTTAAGGTACTACCCTCCAAAGTTTTGGAGATAGCCAAATAAATCTAATTGTTGGTCCAGAACATAAATCTGAGTTATATATAATATTTTGGGGAACATTTAATTAGCTTATGTTTGATTTTCAGAATGAAAGCAGGAAATCAAAATCAACTCTAATAAAGAATGTACTAAAGACACTTCAGTGATGCTTCCCATGATGCTTTGGAATTAAGCATTGTTCAAGGTAGACTTTTGGGCACCCACATTGGCCAGTTGTTTAGAATATTATAACAACATGGAGCAAGAAAAAAAATGCAAATAAATAGTTGCAAGAGCCTATATGACGGGTGACCCTTTTCATCCACCAGAACAAGCCGCCATTCATTGTAACCATGTCTTCTGATGATGAAACTTGAAAGTGACAGATCATTCATTATTAAAACTCAGAAGGTTTGTAACATGCTTATTTCTCCTGAAAAGACTCCCTTAAAAAAAAATACAGTAACTCGCTAGGACAGAAAGCCCTACAATGAGAAGGAATACATGCCCTCTGTGAAGATTTTTGTCTTAAAGGATTAAAGGGGAATGGGAGAGACAGGATGGCATGAAGGTAGAAAGGTCAGGACTAGGAATGGAGAGGTGTTGAGTGGGGAAGAAACTAGGTAGGCATGGCAGGGGAGGTGTGTAGAAGACAAACCAAGACTAGGGGAATGTGCAAAAAGCCATATGGGTACCTAGTTCGTAAACATTAAAAACACAGTTTCAAAAAACAAGTTTAAATGAAGGTTCCCTACACGGTAATAAAGCCCTTCCCAGAAGCCAGAGGTTACTAAATATAACTCTGAGTTCCAGGTGTGGGATTCCCCCTTATTTGTTGCTGATCAGGGAGTTGCCATAGGTACCCAAAACAATAGAGTTTATTGCCATCATCCTGGGTGCCCACTAGCGCTAGATGGTAAGACTCCATTGCTGAAGATACCACACACTTTGGTCACTGGATGTGGGGAAATCAAGCCGAAACTTCTCTGGCAGCTCCCTCTCTCTCCTGGTTGGCTTCCATAGTGCTGGAAGGTACTGCGAAGGCTGCTGAGGAAGAGAGTTCATGTATACAGTCTTATCCAGCTGTAGACACTTTGAACTATAATAACAATCCCCCTGACAGGGAGCACCCGTTGGTGCAATAGCAGCATAGCTGTGATGGGATAACCAAGAGCTTTCTGACTGGATTCTGTGCCGACGCTAACAGAGAGACTTTATGCCCGGTACAAAAACCCTGATCAGGAGCTGATGACTAGGGGAATCAATGGCCCTAGGGAACACACTGTAGTGTTTTGCTAAGGGACATGTGGTCCGAATGCCTTCTAAACACTCGTGTTTTTATCCTCAGATAGTGCTTCTCTCAGACCTTATCAGAGAAGGCTCTTACTACAGTGTGCAGACTGCAACTGGTGAAAATGCCAAGTGTCAGGGCCTCCAGTGTGCTCAGCCCTAAAGGAAAGGAGATACCTATATATCTATATACACACACTCCACGCTCAGAGGACAGTGTAGGCGAGGGGGTGAAATGAATGGAAGAGCTCGAAGATGGGAAGGTGCGTTACAAAACCACTTCTCTAGAGATGACGCAACTGTTGTCGTGCTGAATTTATTTCAGCTGTGTTTACCTGGAAAAGCCCTGCCCAAGATAGAGCTTGTCAATATTCCATCCTGAGTCCCCACTTCTCCCAAAGGGATTACAGACAGTTAATGGCAGCTTGGAAAAGTGACGCCCCTTTCTTTCCTGATGGAGGCACTGTTAAGTTAGTTGCCTTGGCCCCATTAAATAACCTCCCACCTATACTCAAACAAGCAGTCCTAATGAAACTCAGTGAGCCAGGAACATTCAAAAAAGAAGGAGGGACACTTATGGGAAAAGGAAAGTCCCAAAGGGAGGGAAGGAGGAGGATTGAGAGGAAAGAATGGAGGATGAAAATTCACACACACACACACACACACACACACACACACACACACCGACACGTACATTGTCAACAAATAAAAAAATAATTGTGCGTTCTGCACTGTGTCTATCAATAGAATGTGCCCACAATTTCACTGTGAACTTCAATGAGAACAGAAAAAGAACAGGGGATATATGTTCTAGCACAAAGCTCCTCAACCTGTGGGTCGTTACCCCTCTGAGGGTAGAATAGCCCTTTTACAGGGTTATGCTATGCTTTGTCATAGTACAGATTAAAGTTATGAAGTAGCAATGGAAATCATTTTGTGGTTGGGGGTCGCCACAGCCGGAGGAGCTGTATTAAGGGTCACAACATCAGGAAGGTTGAGAGCCACTGTGATAGCAAGTCTGTCACACTATGTATGGCCAGCTCTGCACAGTGAACAGAATGTGGTCTGGATTGACAGAATTTTTTTTCCTTTTTTTTAAATTTATTTATTTATTAAAGATTTCTGTCTCTTCCCCGCCACCGCCTCCCATTTCCCTCCTCCTCCCCCAATTAAGTCCCCCCCCTCCTCAGCCCGAAAAGCAATCAGGGTTCCCTGTCCTGTGGGAAGTCCAAGGAACCCCCACCTCCATCCAGGTCTAGTAAGTTGAGCATCCAAACTGCCTAGGCTCCCACAAAGCCAGTGCGTGCAGTAGGATCAGAAACACAGAGTTTTTAAACTGTCTCTGCTTCTTGCCTCCCGGCCCCCAGGTTTCATTGCCTCTGCCCACACAGCCAGAAGAGACAGCACAAAAGAGGAACGCTCTAGGTGTGTCCTTATGAAGAGTTCTTGGCGCTAAAAAGGGAAAATGAGTTGGCTGAACTTTTTAAGGAGGAAAAATATGACTTCGAACAAAGGGAGGCTGTGAAGTGACAGCACCTTGTCATTTTTAGGGAGGAGAGAGAAGAGAGGATATGATGATTGCTAAGCAAGAGAAAGCCTGCATCCATTTTAGCATCTTACATGGTAGCATTCTGAATAGGCCACTCTAAAATTCTGATTAACAAGTACACTGATGCTGTACCAAAATTAGACTTAGCAGGTCTGAGTAGTGCACAAATTACAATAGATCTATTTCTAAGTCACACAGAGCCATCCCCTTTTTAACTGAGAAGCATCTAACACATTGCAGATTAAGTGGACTGTGCTAGGTAAAGATGGATGGAGGCAGGCTTCATGCCCTGATGCCTCCAAAAGGATGTTCTCAAACACATAGCAAAATCTCAATTATTCTTCCATTAGTATTCTCTGGATAAAGACTTTCATATTCTTTGCTCCCGCTGGCGAGTAAGAACTGCTTGGCATGCATATTTAAATAACAGACATACTGAATTAACTTTAAGATCCAGCTCTTAACATAATATATGTATTCAAATGTACTGGAAAATGAGAGAGAAACAAAGATCTCAATGCACAAGAAAAGCACTAGGGGTAATAATAAACATTACGAGTATCTCAAAGTCTTCTAAGCGTTGGGTTATGGAAAAAGCATTGGGTTATGGAAAAGACCTGATCTCAGATAGCTAATGTGTAGCAAGTGTCTAAACCTATTGATTGAGGAAGGCAGCACCCGACCGTAGCAAATCACAGGCATCTATAGCTGTTTCCAAAGTATGCCTCAAAAAACAAAACAAAAACAAAAACAAACAAACAAAAAAAAAACCAAAAACACAGCCTGTTACCAGTTACCTTAAGGAGAAACTGTCTTCTACAAGATCTCAAGGCAAACTTCATGTTCATGAGGGAGGCCTTACTAGGCACCGAAAGTTCATGCCCCACAGTTCATCAGAAAAATCTATCTAATTAGAGATAACACATCTGAGCGCAATCATTATTGGTCCATGTAATTAAAATTCTTTAAAAAAACACTAAGCCTAAAGGCAAGGGGGAATATTTATCCCTGACAAAATGGGGGGCAGCAACTTTGGGGTGTGGAGATGGATCAGTGGATAAAGTGTTTGTTATACAAACATGAGAATGAGAATTCAGATCCCCATCACCCATGTAAAGCTGGATGCAGCTGCACACATCTGTAATTCTCGCCTGTCAGATAGAAGATAGAGACAGAAGAATCTCTAGAAGCTTGCAAGCTGCCCCCCCCGCAGCCTGGTGTGCACAGCAGTCAACAACAGGAAACTACTATTTCAAATAAGGTGGACGTGGAAGATCAACACCCAAGGTTGTCCTCTGACCTGCAAAGGCGTACAAGTGCACACACAGCTCCACTCACACTCACAGGCACATATGAACTTAACCCCCACCCGCACATACACACTACACACATACATCATACACACACATTAAAAGAAAAACCATTTTGGTAGAGCACTTAGTTCGTGTGCAAGGTCCCCCCAGCACGGCAACAAATAAACCAACTTTTTTTCCCCTCATTTTAACAGCAAAGTTTTGCGCAACACATTAAGGAAAACCATAATGAGAATTGGCCATCGCACATTAAGCAGTCATGTCATGATGGTCTAAACATGTTTGCAGATGGACGCAGGAGTGTCTATTCAGAAACACAGTCAGCACACTTACCACAGATTCACCAGGAAAGGGTGCTCCAGGCCCTGCATGATCTGGAGTTCCTTGAAGACATTCCTCACTTCATTGCGCTCCACACACTTCTGCTTATTCATGTATTTCATGGCATACATCTTCTTGGTATCATTCTTCTGCACGATGCAGACCTGGTGATGGAAGTCCAGGTCAGCCAATGATTAGGGAGAAAGAAAAGGTGGCTGAGGGACACAGAAGGGTTTATCCTTTAGCATGACATAGAGCCCTTGTCATTTTCTGGGATCAAAGCTTTTATTTCACTCAGAGTAAAGATTTCAATTTCTTCCCCCATGGATTTATTGATGCATTTAGTACATCAATAATTGAATCTCTGCATCCTCATGTTAGTTTGCCTGCTTTTGCTCCTGGGATCTTCGAGACAACATTTAAATCTGCTTCCATGTTAAGAATCTTCTGATAACAGATAGCATCCTTGATCCCCCTTTAAGTGGCTGGAACGGATGTGACTGGAGAGCTAAAGTCAAAAATCTCACCAGGCAGAGTGTTTCCCAGCATAAGTGTTCTAATGGGAAAGAGTGAGCAGGAGGAACCTGCCACACAATTGTCCACATTCTGCAACCTTCTCAAAATAACATGCAAACTTAATAGAAAATTATTATTTTATCTTAAAGGATGTCTCCATGGAGAATCTAAGAGTTTCTTACAGGAAGCTGGACTAGGCAGAGCTCACTTGAGCAAGGCAGTCCTGAGCCAGCACATGGTTCGTCGTGAAGTTGACTTTCATCACGTGGTGGTGACAAGTTTGGGAAAGTCCTAAAGATTCCCTGGTTATCTGTCTTTATCATGCCAGGACCTCGACAATCACAGCATTCTCTGATCATCCAGGACCCACAGCTCTGCAGGGAGTTGGACAAATCAGCTCTTACCTTGCCAAAGCTGCCCTTCCCGATGGCCCGCAGAATTTCAAAGTGATCGAAGCTGACTGGAAAGCAAGAGAATGCAGGGTGTTAGGAGTGACTGTAAATGACTTTTGAACAGCTAATCAAAGAAACAAGCATTGGGCTAAATCGAAGGGCCTGGTCTAAAATGGCACAGCAAACTATGTTAAAGTATCAGCTCATTCACTGAAAATGATTTATTAGCCACTAGCCACATGTAGCCTAGGTTGTGTTAAGACAGGGAAAACAGGAAGTCTACGTTTGTGAAGCCTGTAGTCTAATGATATTATATAGAGTGCTCTGAGAAGAAATACTCATAAAAATAAAGGAAACTTAAAAATACATTGAATCCTAGGAAGGACAGAAGCAGTGGAGCTTGCTGTCTCTAAGAACACAGAACACTGATTTGCCTGTAGATACTGAAGCCAAAGTGACTATTGGCACTAGGTACAGAGGGCATATGGCTTCATGTAAAACAGCTATGCTTCTAACTTTTTTTCCTGCTTGCTTGTTTTACCACTACCTCACTCTTTTGTACCTAAATGTTTTCAGTTTTCCCAAGGAGTAAAATGATGCACCCATAAGTTCACAAAATGAGCTCATCTCCAGCTTACAGATAAGAATGTGTAAAGAGGTCCACCGAAGCAAGCTTTGAAGATGAGATGAACCACGCATGCTCCCTTGCATCCACAGTGTCTCATGATGAGAAGAGACACCCACTATAAGCACACATGATCTTTCAGGCTTAAGCTCATAAAATAATTCCTGATGAGAACAAAATTCAGACTCTCTCTGGCAGGTGGCCATCTTTGTTTTCTTGCCCTGATGACCTTAAGAAAGTGTATTTCTTGGTTTTGGAATCAGGATTTTGACACACAAATTCCAAGCGAGAGGTTTAAAGAACTTCCTAAAAAAAAAAAAATACTGTGAAACACTAGAAAGGATCTCTTATCTCTTGGGAAATTTGCATTCAGTTATTCATGGGGCATGTATGCAGGCAAGGGGACAGATTGGCGAGCCAATTCTCTTTCTAGAATGTGCGCTCTCTAAACAGCTCAGTTGGTCAGTCTGGAAGCAAGCACCCTTACTGACTGAGCTCTCTGCCTACTTCTCTCTCAACCCATGAAGAGCTGTTTTCTGTCTTTTTCGTCGACAACTAGCTTATCTTCCCATAAAGGGGAAAAGAGATGGTCAGGCCTCCTGAAGGTCTCTGGGTTTTCTGAAGCTCACACATTTTTTATAATGACATCATTACTACTTCCTCTCTGAGCTTTCATTCTTCTCTTCCTAACACAAAATCCATTTAGTCGTGTGAGATCATAGGTCTATTGTGGACTTAGGTTTTACAAATGGTCCAGCTCAGACTTGAACCCCAGATAGCAATGTGATTTGATAGGAAATAAAATCAGTTTCTCCATATGATCCCCAGTAAAAATCTCCTAGATGAGGAAACCTCTTTACCTAGAAGGTGCAGATAAAGCTGTTTCCCTCCTGAAGTGCTATGCATGTGAATGACCACCACAGCATATGTTGCAGAGACAGACTGTAGGTCGTTTTGCTCACTCTGGTTTCTCTGCAGTCTCAGAAGATTGCCCATGGAAACAGGTGAACCCTTAGGGAGTCTAGTACCATGATTTATGTAAGTTTGGCTCCCAGCAAATTTATCAAACTAAGCCATAAGGATATTCAAGAACCACCAAACAATTGAACCTTATAAATATGAATAATGTGAGCATTTGGGCCACCTCGGGGAACATTTTACTGTGAGTGAAATCCCATCAATAAGTTAAGAAACAGGTTTGGCATTCATAAGAAACATTAAAATTTTAAATGGAATAGAATAGAAAGAACCAGAAACTACTCAAATGAGATACAAGAAGAATGTCACCTCTGAGACATTTTTTTTATACATGTGGGTAGAAATGCAATTTTTGGTGCATTCCTTACTCTGAGATGTCATAGAAATAATTAGCTAAATGCTTTTATACATTTTCTCTCAAATTACATATTGACATGACCAAATCAATGACTTTTTACATTTAGTACATGAATCTTAGGAATACATTATTTACCATGGTAACATTAAGAAAAATTGACCAGAATTTATTTGCGAACCCAAGATTTTATCTTGAGCAAATCCAGTAATTCATTTGGATTTTTTTGCACTAGCAGGCTAGCTCACAGCAATATCCCTATTCTCCAAGCACACAGCAAGTACCTAGCTTCAAGTCTCATTGTGACATCAATCTATCTCATGAGCCACGTCTTTTTCTAAATCATTTTAAGCATTAACCAAAAATAATAAGTGATTTCATGTCAAAGTACCTGGTAACTTTTGAAAGGAAAAGTACTAACTTAGGAACTTCAAGACCAAGTTCTCAGAAAAAAGGAGATTTATTTGCCACAGAGGACAGTGAATAAGAAAAAAAGACAGGAGATAGAGGACTGGGTAGAAGGGGAAGGGAACAAATGAAAGGGTGCAGAGATATTTGTTCCAAAGGGGCACAAAGGACTGTCTGTGGATAGAGAGGAGGCAGATGTGGCATATAGGAAAAACGTCAGCTATAAAGGTACAAAATGGAAACCCCATGTAAGGATGGGTATTCATTTTAATTGGGCCTGCTAACTAGGTAAGCCAAAAAAGGCTTTTAATTGCTGGGTTTCAATACTTGGATAGCTGGACCTTGGTAGTCAGCCTCAGGAAGAGGGACTGGCCCAGTAAAGGAAGAGACCTTGGGGGTTAACATCAGGAATGTAATCTAATGGTTTTTAGAAAGGCAGAGGGAACTGGGGAGAAGGGCAAGGCCTGTCAGAGCCACTTGCTCTAGTTAGCGAGTGTCCCTTTCTAATTGAATGAGCTTCCCAAAAGCCAGTTCTCAGAAAAGTCTGAGGGAAAAAAATCAAGATAGAAAATACATCTCATGTCTCATAAGTTAAAGAGAGAACAGACCCGGCCACCCAAAGTCCCTTCTCCCTGGAATACAGCCTAGGGAGAAAAGCAGTGAGTGGCTGATTAGAAGTGACAAAGGGCTGGAGAGATGGCTCAGTGGTTAAGAGCACTGACTGCCCTTCCAGTTGACCCAGGTCAGTTTCCAGCACCCCCATGAGAGTTCACAACCTTCTGTAACTCCAGTTGCAAAAAATCTGATGCCTTCACCTGGCCTCTATGAGCATCAGGCATGCTTGTGGTACACAGATGTCCACGGAAGCAAAACACATACACCCATTTTTAATGATATATTTTTCTTTTTAACTGACTGCAAGACAAGCTCTAAATCAACTACAACAGTCCCCCCAAATGCCTAACAACACAATAGCCAGTTACTAAGAAAGCTCGAAATCAACTACAACAATCCCCCCAAATGCCTAACAACACAATAACCAGTTACTAAGAAAGCTAATTTGAAAGTACAACCAAACTTTATGCATTGAGACAGTACCATAACGAGAGAGACAAATTCAGAAATGTAGATTTCTGGCTGAAGCCCCACAGTGTTTTATACATGTATATATAGGGTTTGCCTTTCTGATTCTGGACCCAGGCTCTTCCACTGTCTTCCCAGGCATCATAATGTTGTTTTTACACATCTACCCACTCCAACTGGAGAACTAGGGAGAGCAACATGGACCTTTTCCTTTCATTTAGAATCGTATGAATCAAATGATGCTCCCTAAGTCTTTCCCTAAAGAGACAGAACCTTGCTGGCTCTACGACACATGGCTGATGGTGTCATCAGTTTCTTTATCTCCCTCGCCCCCCCCCACCTCAGCATTTTGTGAAACTAATGTTATTGAAGGAAGTAAAGGGGACCACCAACCTTTTCCGAATTTGAAATAATACCCTGACACTAAGGCTTTGGAAGAAGGACATTTTAGAAAGTGAAGCAGTGCATCTTTATTCTATTTTGAGATAACAATATTTGAAAACCTTGAGTCCAGCCTTCGGAAGTAGCAAATCGTGAACATATGTGAGTCTATTGAGAACCAAGTCCCACAAACTGCTTATGTAAATCTTCCTATTGATGATGGAACAAGGACACCAGCTGTGTGACCCTGGACAAGTTACTCAGTCTTTCCAAATCACAATGTCCCATCTGTAGCATAAAGCTAATTAAACCCAATAGGCACGATGCTTCCAAGATGAGACACTGTAAGGCAGAAGGGTAGTGTCTGGCCTGCTGAAATCTGAAAAAAATGACAGTCACTTTTAAATGTGCAATTATTCAATGGAAATTGGGCCTTATTTCCAAAGTTTCAATTCTGTTCCTACAATGCCACCACTGTTAACAGATGCTAGGGTGTCCTTTAAGGGGTTTTCTCAGCTTGTGCTTGTTCCTTTCTGGCAGCAGGACAACACAGTATCATTGGGACAGGAGCGGGTTTTCTGGTGACTCCATCATGTCTGTCCATTCATACAACATACAGAGGTCTAATTATTTTAAGTTGTTCATTTGTCTTTCATTGTCTCAAAAATACTGCCCAAGTATTGAAAGGTAATTTAAATTATCTACTACCAAAAGCAGAACCCTAGATATCTTCGATGGGCTTTTTGCTTATGTTTGCAGGCTTAATTCTTGGGAAGAGAACTGTTGGCCAAATGTATGCCAGCTTTCTAACACGAAAGCTGTGGGGATGCCAGCAGTCCTGCAAAGATACTGTACCAATCTCCCTTCATATCAGTGGCATACGAGACTGTCCTAGGTAGGGTTACTGTTGCTGCAATGGAGCACCATGACCAAAAGTAAATTGGAGATGAAAGGGTTTATTTGACTTATACTTCCACATCACTGTTCACCATTGAAGGACATTACAACAGGATCACAAATAGGGCAGGATCCTGGAGGCAAGAGCTGATCCAGAGGCCATGGAGGGGTGCTGCTTACTGACTTGCTCTTCCTGTCTTGCTCAGCCTGCTTTCTTACAGATCTCAGGACCACCATCCCTGGGATGGTCCCACCTACAAAAGGCTGGGCCCTCCCACATCCATTACGAATTGAGGCACTACTCTACAGGCTTGCCTTCTGATCAATCTTATAGGTATTTT